GCACTGCACTATAAATATTTTATGTTGTAATGTAAACATGATCAATTAATATTTGACAATAGGCTAAAGCTAAGCTATCAAATGATAATTGTTAGTTCACTCAGGTCATTTGTTTTTATTGTAAAATGGAATATTAGAAAAAAATTTTCAAGAAAAAACTAATTTTTTCTTTTATATGCTAAATTAATAAAATTCGGCATATCGCTATAATTTAACATAACAAACATTTTATTTTAATCAACTTTTGTTGTACATTGCTCAGAAAGACCACTATACCTGCAATGGTTAACAAACTTCTTGCGTTAACTTTGGTACTTTGAGGATATTTGACGTAAAACTTGGTTATATTTCGTTTTATGACATCCAGACTTTAACTGCAAAAGATGGAATTTGAATTCAAAAATTTATCGTCAATTATACCTTACGGGGACACAATCCGGGGACACACTGTATAGGGTGTTCCATTTAAAAAAATAAAGTAGGCGGTCTAGCACTTCCTAGCCTTTTAGTCGAAGAGAACGCAATTAATAATACTTAAATCTGAATTTTCAAATTTTTGTATTGGCCAGAACCCTGTAAAGTTCTAATGGACGGTCGCCGTGGATGACCCTGAATTACACTCATTTGCTAGTAACATATTATATTATGACAGCAGTAGTTAGTGGTCTACAACCAGTGAGTAGTCTTTACAAGCAGTATCTAATATTCTAGCCGCTGTATCAAGTCGCCAACAGTATATCTCGTAGCCCTCTGCCAGTAATATCTCGTTTTGCGACAGGGGTACGTAGTCCTTTTCTAACATTAACTAGACTTATGCTGTATCTACAAGCTGTATCTAGCCTTCTGGTAGCAATATCTCATCGTATGGTATAGGTAGTTTCCGTAGGCAATATCTAGTATTCTATTAAAAGTATATCACTCCTTTATCAGTAATATCTAGTGTTGTGGGAGCAGTAGCTAGTCGTTTACAAACAGTGGAGAGTCTTTTGCAAAGAGTACCCAGTTCTTACAGCAGTATCTAGTCGCCAACAGTATAAAGTCCTCTGTAAGTAATATCTAGTCTCTGGTAGGAGTAAGTAGTCTGCTGCAAGCTGCATCTTGTAGTAGCAATATCTCGTCGCCTGCAATATGTAGTTTCTATAGACATTATTTAGTATTCTATTAGAAGTATATCCTTCGTTGCCAATAATATCGTCGGTATACAAGAGAAAGTGACTAATAAGTAATAAAGTTCTAATTTTTGCTTCTTATTATAAAATCAATTATTTTACGTGAGATTAGTTTATAATGATTTTTATAAATAATATAGTTTTTAGAATATGTATTTTAAATTAAAAAAGTCTATAATTAATTTAAGCAGGTTTGTAATGGTTTCTGTGAACAATGCAGATTCTAGAATATGTATTTAAACTTAAAAAAGACTATAATTAAGCAAGTAGTGGTAACTAGTTTCAACTTCATATGTCTTCATCACTATATTCATTGTGTGAGGGTTCTGGACACTTGTCTTTCATGGTATTCGATCGGAATTACTCCCTTACGGCAAAGTTGAATTAAATCGTTTTCCTTCTTGATCGATATAGGCAAGGGTTCAGTATAACATTTCTTTAACTCAGTTTCTTTTGGAATATTATTACTGGGCCTACCTTTTGCTTTGCCTTTAATGTTAAACATTTTATACTCTTCATCATAGTTGTATCGGAACATTATAAACTTTTTTTTCTCTTTTTCGTACCTTAATTGTTTGATCTTTAACTATTCTATTTTTTCTCCCCCTTCATCCCGAATTGTATTTTGTAGTATAGATGTATTGAGTGCTTTCAAGTCAATAATGTCACGGTAAGTCATTTGCTCTACAATGTAGGCACCAGAAGTTTTATTTTTGCCTCTCTTGGATCTTGCTAATGTCATAATTGTCTTCCAATCATTAAGACAAAATACAGGAATGTATTTTTTTGCACTTTCAATGCATCGAATCGGCCTCCATGTGCGAGTGACCTTTTTCTAAAAAGTTGTGAGTAATAATCTCTATAGGTAACTGGTTGACTACAAACAACAAAAGAGCCGCAATGTATTTATTTCGGTTTTGGCCGCCACATGTGTCGCTAAAGAGTGACACTTCTTTGACAGTATCAGGTAAAGTTTTAAACCACTTCAATAAAGCTGTACCTATTTCACAACTTCCTCGTTGGCCATCAACTTCGGACCAAAGATAACAATATCCCTTATTTGGTGGAGCTGCTTCATAAATTGCTAAATTGTATGCACATAGCTTTCGATTGTAGTAAAGAGGTGATACATCGGAGCATGGAATTTGCAGGACACTCTGTAAGTCAAAACTTACTGATACAAAAGTTTTGTCATTAATTGCTCTTTGTTTATCTAAATCTTTTGCTCTATTAGCATCATCCCTTCGCTTTATGTGAGAAAGAAATTCTTCTAATTTTTCAATACACAGCAAACATTGATCTTTCTTTGGTTTGAAGAAACATAAGTTATACTGCGTACAAAACACCCTCCTATATGTTATTGGAGAAACAAAATCCTTTTGATTGCTGATCTGTAAATCTTTGTACAATTCATACATTTTAAGAATGGATAAGGTAGAGTCAAGATACTTCCGTGTAGTTCCACGTCTACAATAGTGTGATTCCATCACAGGAAATGATTCTATATGTCTCTTCACCTCATTCAAAATGACAGGTTTAGTCTTATTTCCTGGGAAACTTTTTCCTCGTCGATCTTGAATTGGTCTATGACTTATCGACAAGGTTTTTAAGTAAAAATTTTTACAAACTCTTTTCTTTTCTCCGTTTTTAACAAATGTATAAATTGTAGAGACATTTTTTGCAGGTCTACTAGAGTCCCTCGTTCGTTTTCTTCGGCATTCAGAAGTTGCAACGGTATTAATTATAAAGTCCTTTTGTCTGTCATAGGATAGACTGTGATACTGTTTACAGATATCTTGTCGACGATCTGCAGGAAATACTTCTGTACATTTGTAGCGGCAATTGTCACAATTTACATTTCTAGGGGACTTTGCAGGCATTTGTTTGCCTTTAGTATTAATACACGCTAAACACGATTTTTTTAATAACTTGTTTTTCTCACGTTTTGTTCCTTGAGGATTTTTTATTACCCATCTGCGTTTTTCTATAACTTGCGTAGGATTTACTAGTGGTTCATTTATTATTAAAGTCGTAGGGCTTGTATTACTAGAATTAGTAGCAAATTCTACCGGAACATCCCTAAGATCATTAATAATTTCTTCTGCGTTGTTATAATAATTTTTCGAACAACTCATTTTGCCACTAAAATAAGGTATTATTGCATTAGCTTATTATTTTTTAAAACTAAATATCCGAAAAACAAAATTATTGTAATACGTGTAGATAGTTACCAAAGATTAAGTCTAATAACATAGAACACAATTTTATTTTGATTTAAGTAATAATTGTTATGATAAACTGTTTAAACTTCAAACGTCACTCTCTTTTCCCTGTCTGTCACATCATATTTCTGTATCTTTTCTCTTGTTTTTTTTTTCGTTAAGCATAATGCATGGCTATCTTAATTTAAGTCAAATCCTAGAGATAAAAATATTGACAAGAAAACATGACTAAGTCCACTTAGTCATTTTCTCCTGTACAGGTTTTTATAAAATGGAATTTGAAATTATAAGCATTATTATGGCATTTTTGGACTTGTTCATTTTTTCCAGAAAAATAATATTGAATTTCCGGTACATGAGCATTGAAACCTAAAAATCTAAAATTTTGGACTTGGTCACATTCTCTTGTATACCGACGATATCTGGTGTTATGTAAGTAGTAGCTAATCGTCTGTAACAAGTGGATTGTCTTTTACAAGCAGTAGCCAGTCTTCTAACGGCAGTATTTAATTGCCAACGATATATAGACCTCTGCCAGTAGTATCTAATCTATAGCAGGAGTACGTAGTCTTCTGCAAGTAGTATCTGGTCCTCTTCAAACATTAAGTAGCCTTCTGCAAGCTGTACCTAGCTTTCTGCTAGCAATATCTAGTCGCCAACATATCCTTCTGTAGATAGTCAAACAAATACTACAGTTTCTTTGGGTCGCGGATATATTTAAAAGTTTGAATCGATACGAATTGAATCGAATCATTCATAACTTATTCCCCTCAATACATTCAAAAAAGGTTTTTAATCATTTTCAATCCCATGAAAATTTTAAGACAGTCTTTTAATTGTTATAACTTATAACAACATTCAGATATTGATTATTCGCGATATTCTTTATCAATTTTTTTCGGTTTATTTATAATTTTGTTACATGTTTTTCTTTTTCTAATTCGATAAGATATAATTAAAAAAATATGTTTTTCCTTAGAAAATAGACTTTTTATAGGAAATAACAAGGTTTTCTTGGTAAAATAATCAATTCTAACTTGAAACCTAAAAAATAACTCAATTAATACAATAATAAAAATGTTATTGATTTAAGCTTATTCAACATTAAATAATTCAATCCCCAGCCCAAAATAATTTGTGTTGTGGGCGTTCAAACGAATGGAAAAGTACTCCTTCGGCATCCTTATTAATTTAGATTTAACCCGAAAAGAATTAGGAATTAAAATTGGGGGTCTTTTATTAAATGAAATGAAAAATTTTCCGTTACATAATTTTATGAAATTATATATAACAAAGTTATTGATTTATTTTAGATAAATCCACATTAAAACATGATCGTTTTGAGATTGTAATTCACTTGAATCCATCTTTCCTTATCTCAATAATTTAAATTACTCAAAGTGCAAAAATTGATAAAGAATTTTTTTTAACAATTATCACGTTATATGAATTCTTTTAAAGCAAAGTTATTTTCAAATCGAGCAATACCCGAAATCATTTTGATATTATTCACCATGGAAATGCTAAAATAGTGAAACATTTTGATATCATCCCCACTTGAAATCGATTTCGTTACGTCACCGACCTTAAAATATAAAACGCGTCAACGCGAAACGTTCACGGTCAATCCACTTTTAAAGTTCGTGCTTCATATTTTAGAAAATCATGGCTAACGTTCCAACGATTACTTTTAATAATGGAAATAAATTTCCAATGTTCGGGTTAGGAACATGGAAAGTAAGTGAACGAATTTAAATCGATTTTTATTAATATTAATTAATTAATTAATTTTAGTCCGAACCAGGAAAAGTTACTCAAGCTGTGAAAGATGCCATCGATGCCGGTTATCGACATCTTGATTGCGCTCACGTTTACGAAAATGAACCGGAAGTAGGAGCTGGGATTGCTGCGAAAATATCGGAGGGAGTCGTAAAAAGAGAAGATCTTTTTATTACGAGCAAATTATGGAATACTTATCATAACCCGGAAGCCGTTGAGCCGGCTTTAAAAGTAACATTAAAAAATTTAGGATTGGATTATTTAGATTTATATCTAATTCATTGGCCGTTTGCTTTTAAGGTAAATTTAAACCTCGTTTTAACCACAACACAAATAAATTTCATTTTTAGGATGGAGATGTATTATTTCCATTAAACGCAAATAAAAAAATCGAATTTGCTGACCACGATTTTGTCCCAACTTGGAAAGCCATGGAGGCACTTTACAAAAAAGGCTTAGTTAAAAACATAGGAATTTCTAATTTCAACAAAGACCAAATTGAACGTCTCCTTGAATCCGCGGAAGTGGTCCCACAAACCAATCAAGTCGAATGCTCACCGTTTTTGAATCAACTTCCTTTGAGTGATTATTGCCGGTCGAAAAATATAACAATAACCGCTTATAGCCCCTTGGGAAGCGGGGACAAAAAGTTGTTGGAAGATAGCAAATTTGAAAGCATGGCTAAGAAATACGGGAAAAGTGTGGCCCAAATTTTAATTAAATATCAAGTTCAACGCGGGCATATCGTTATTCCTAAATCGGTTACGAAAAGTAGGATTATCGAGAACTATAATATTTGGGATTTCGAAATTAGCAAGGAAGATATGGGGGAATTGAATAATATGGATATTAATTTGAGAACTTGCCCTTTTAGTGAATCGAAAGATGCTAAATTGTATCCGTTTAACGCTAAATATTAAACGGAAATTTATTATACAAAACTTATCAATATAATAAAAATGTTTAACCATTAATTAATTGTTTTATTTATAATTAATCTCGTTCGTTATTTTTATATTGATATAACTCGACAAAAAAGATATATTTTTCCCATTCAAGTGTAAATCAAAATGGAAAAGTATAAAAGCCAAAAGCAGTCCTGGGAGGTAGAAAATATGCACCAAGCTGTGGAGGAAGTATTACTTACTGCTTGAAGACTGGTGAAGACTTTGATACTACTGGTAAAGGACTATATACTGTTGACGACTAGATACTGCTTCTAGAAGACTGTATGGTGCTTGCAAAAAAGAATCCACTGCTTGATATTACTGGCAAAGAAGTATATACTTCTAATAGAATTCTAAATACTGCCTACAGAAACTACATACTGCAGGCGACGAGATATTACTACTATAAGACTATAGATACAGCTTGCAGAAGACTACTTACTGCTTGAAGACGATTTGATACTACTTGCAGAAGACTACGTACTGCTACCACAGAGTAGATACTACTGGAAGTGGACTATATACTGTTGGCGACTAGATACTGCGTTTAGAAGACTGGATACTGCTTGAAAAAGACAATCCACTGCTTGTAATCAATTAGCTACCGCTGCTACAACACTAGATACTACTTACAAAGGAATATACACTTCTAATAGAATACTGGATACTGCCTACAGAAACTACATACTGCAGGCGACGAGATATGGCTACTATAAAGCTAGATACAGTTTGCAGAAGACTACTTACTGCTTGAAGACGATTTGATACTACTTGCAGAAGACTACGCACTGTTGCCACAGAGTAGATACTACTGGAAGAGGACTATATACTGTTGGCGACTAGATACTGCTTTTAGAAGACTGGATACTGCTTGAGAAAGACAATCCACTGCTTGTAATCAATTAGCTACCGCTGCTACAACACTAGATACTACTGACAAAGGAATATACACTTCTAATAGAATACTAGATACTGTCTACAGAAACTACCTACTGCAGCTGACGAGATACTGCTACCAGAAGACTAGATACAGCTTGCGGAACACTACTTACTGCTTTAAAATGACTAGACTGCTGCTAGAAGACTAGCTATTCCTCCCACAAGATTAGATACTATTGGCAGAGGGTTATACAGGGTGTTTCATGAGGTTCTCCCGGCACTAATGGAGCATGTTGTTTAAGTGATTTATTTGTAATAAAAAAGTTCATATGAACATATGTCCGATTCACTTCACTTATTGAGTTATCTGAATTTGAAAATAATATTTAAAAATTATGGCATTACGGCCCAGCGCGGTGTTCAAAGTGTAAGTGTGCTACGACTGCATTAGTAAAATAAAGTACTTATTTACCTTACTGTCAAATTTGACAAGCTTGCCGTTTAATCTAAAATTATTTGAGTTTTATTTGCGTACAATGCCGTTTAAGTTTACGACTGTTGAGTATGCTGATATGGTTTTTGTACTGGGAAATTGTGATGGAAACGCTACTGCAGCTTCAATTGAATATCGACGACGTTTTCCAAATCGGCGTGTTCCATCGCCGAAGACTTTTAGTAGTACCTTCCAAGCTCTCCGAGAAACTGGTTTACTTCCGAGCGTTCATATGCAGTATGAACGAGCAACACAGCAGAATGTTGCAGAGGAAGAGAACATCCTTGACATTGTCGAGCGCAATGCCTGCATTAGTACGCGACGGATATCCATACGTTTAGGGATTCCCAATACCAGGGTATGGAGAACATTAAAAAGAAATCTGCTGCATCCGTATCATCTACAGCGTGTTCAACATCTGAAGCCAGAAGACTTCCCTAGGCGTTTGGCATTTTGTCAGTGGTTAAATAATAATCGGAACTTATACCGCTACATTTTATTTACGGATGAGTCACAATTTACTCGAGATGGCATAAATAACATCCATAATTTGCATAAATGGTCGGACATTAACCCTCATGCTACCATAGAAAGTAATTTTCAAAGCAGATTTAGCATTAATCTGTGGTGCGGAATGTTGTACGATCAACTTATAGGACCGTTTATTTTTGAAGATCGTCTTACCGGACAAAGGTACTTGCAATTTTTGGAAGAAAAACTTCCGCGTTTACTGTGGGATGTACCTCTGGCAAGACGATTAAGAAAGTATTTGCAACACGACGGAGCTCCTTCTCATTTTTACCGTAGAGTCATCGATCATCTAAATGAACGTTATCCTAACCGCTGGATCGGTCGAGGTGGACCGTACGTTTGGCCAGCCAGATCTCCAGATCTCAATCCTCTGGATTATAACATGTGGGATTGGATGAAAGATTTAGTATATCAAGAAAAAGTAGACACACGTGAGGCTTTAATCCAAAGAATTTTTGACGCTGCAACGCAAATAAAGGAGCACCGTGCAAAGATAAAAAATGCAACGCGAGCCGTTCACAGGCGTGCAGATAAGTGTATTGAAGTAGGAGGTGGAATTTTCGAAAATGTTTAAAATTAATAAATTATTTTTTCAAATTATAATAAAAAGTAACATTATCGCAATTACTTTATTTTTAAATGCATAAGTGTAGCTCAATAAATAAAGTGAATTGTCTTGCTCAATGCTTTTTTTTTTGGTCAAACATGACGCAATTATGGGAATAAGTACTTTATTTTACTAATGCAGTCATAGCACATTTATCCTTTGAGCCCCGCGCTGGGCCGTAACGCCATAATTTTTAAATATTATTTTCAAATTCATATAACTCGTGAAGTGAATCGGACATATGTTCATATGAACTTTTTTATTACAAATCACTTAAACAACATGCTCCATTAGTGCCGGGAGAACTTCATGAAACACCCTGTATATTATTGACGACTATCCACTGCTTGCAGACGACTAGATACTGTTGCCATAAAACTAGATATTACCTGGTAAGGAGTATATACTTCATATTTTACTGTTGGGAACAAATTTTCTCGTTTGAATGTATGTATAATTTGATTTATACGTTTCTTTTGTGATATAAAAGGCTTCTTCCTAGGTATGCGGCGATGATATCCATTTTTGTGAAGAACATTTCGAATCGTTTGTGCACTTACTGTTCTTTGAGATACAGAATTTAATTCGTTAGCAATTTTTGAAGCACTTATCTTAGGACTTTCACGCACTTTGTTTAATAGTACGCTCGAACACTCAATACTCTAGGACAGTGGTTTTCAACCTGTGCTCCGCGGAGCCCTTGGGGCTTTTCTGGGGTTCCGCCACAAAAATTGATTGTAAAAAGGGCTCTGCAAGTCAAAAAGGTTGGGAACCGCTGCTCTAGGACTCGGACGTCCCGTACAAAGCTGTATTTTTGTGGACCCCATTTTAAATCAAATCTCGAATGCTTTGTACTCATTTTTAATAAATATCCAAAAATTGAATGGCACGAATACGACATTAAAGTACTACAGTATATTGCGAGAACATACGCGTCTGGGGAATTAAGACTGGTGGGGGAATAATCTAAGGTAATTGGTGTATGGACTGGTGGATACTTGTTGTATGTGGAATTTACGCTTTTCTTGTATTTATTTTTTAAAAAATCCCATAAACCTTCAATTTAGAAATAAATGTTACAGTTCGAAGGCCTTAGATTTCTTTATCAATTCTAAGAAGTTTTTCATTACCCTCTTTTATTTAACACGTAATAAATGATTGGATCAACTGAAATCAGTATTAAGGCCATATTTTAATAACAATAACCTTTTTAATAAAAAACATTGATAACATTTTCTTATCCTTAAAATGCTTTTATGTTAATCACGTTGAATTCCACACATAACAAGGCTAAAATTACAAAAACGTCCACCTCATTAAAAAATATGTATATATAAATTCTTATTTGATTGCTCATAGAACATAAATTACAAAAAATATCGATGGATTTAGGATGAGATTTATATATTTTAAACTCAAACGATTAAGAAAATTTTCCATCAATACTCATCATTTTCAAACGGATGATGTGGATGACCAACACCGCTACAATAATATCAAAAATTTTATTTTAAATTAAAAAAAAATAAATAAATCAAAACTTACGCTGTCATTGGACAAAATCTCCCACCGCAATCGAACCCATTAATATACTCCAAATCTTTCGGGTCCAATTCAAAATCGAAGATGTTAAAATTCTCGGCGATTCTCCCTTTATTCACCGATTTAGGAATTGTAATAACACCTCGTTGAACTTGGTATTTCAACAAAATTTGAGCGGCAGTTTTTTTATATTTTTCTGACAAAAAGTTTAATTTTTCATCTTCTAAAAGCTGTGGATCATCCGGTTTGGCCCACGGCCTATCTGGGCTTCCCAATGGGCTATAAGCAGTGACCGTAATACCATTTGACTTACAAAATTCAATCAATTTTTTTTGATTCAAATAAGGGTGGCATTCAATTTGTAAATTAACCGGCTTAATTGTGCTTGAGTCTAAAACACGTTCGATTTGGCGTTTATTAAAGTTTGATAACCCAATTGATCTTGTGTATTCCTTTTCGACTAATTTTTCCATTGCTTTCCATGTATCCACGTAATCAACGTTGCTGAATTGGATTTTTCCTTGTTCGTCGGTGGGAAATAATTCCCCATCTTCTTTATAACCCAAAGGCCAATGAATTAAATACAAATCGATGTAATCTAACCCCAAATTATTTAAAGTTTCTTTCATCGCTTTTTCAACTAGATCAACACGATGAAAGGTGTTCCATAATTTGCTTGTAACAAATAAATCATCGCGGTTAATAACACCTTCATCTATTTTATCTTTTATCGCAGCTCCAACCTCTTTCTCATTACCATAAACATGGGCACAATCAATGTGGCGATAACCTATATCGATTGCATCTTTAACAGCTTGAGTCACTTCGCCCGGCTTCGACTAAATTTAAAATAACATAAATTAAATTTTTTAAAAAAGTGAGGTTAGAAATTACCTTCCAAGTTCCTAACCCAAAAATGGGGATTGAAAACCCGTTACTTAAAGAAACTGAAGGAACCGAAGACATTCTTCGTGTTAATGTTGATTAGAACTGCTTAATACGAGATAATTCCTTAAATTAAATACTTTCGTTATCTCAAGTGATGTTTTTATCTTAAACGAGAGAAATGACAGATTCAAAATTTAAATTGGTTTAGAATCAAAACTAATTTTTTATTAACGTTATCACTTTCCTATTTAAAACGTTTTAATGGAATTTCCTTATCTTATAACCTTTATTAAATAATGCGATAAAAAGGAATTATTAAAAATTCTTAACGTAATAATTCAAAAAAAGCGGCGCCATCTTTTGGTGTGATTTATTAAAAACATAATTACAGATTTCTTCGAAATAAACGTTAAAAATGTTAAGTTGATTGAAGTTGTTGATGAAACGTACATAATAAACGTTAAAAAATACGAAGATAAATTAAATTTAAAAAAAAAGTGAGGTTAGAAATTACCTTCCAAGTTCCTAACCCAAACACGGGGATTGAAAACCCGTTATTTAGAGAAACTGAAGTAACCGAAGATATTTTTCGTGTTAATGTTGATTACAACCGCTTAATAATAAATAATAATTCCTTAAATTAAATACTTTCTTTCCTCAATGATGTTTTTATCTTAAACGAGAGAAATGACAGATGTCAAAATTTAAATTGGTTAAGAATCAAAACTAATTTTTTATTAACGTTATCACTTTCCTATTTAAAACGTTTTAATGGAATTTCCTTATCTTATAACCTTTATTAAATAATGCGATAAAAACGAATTATTCAAAATTCTTAACGTAATAACTCAAAAAAGCGGCGCCATCTTTTGGTGTGATTTATTAAAAACATAATTACAGATTCCTTCGAAATAAACGTTAAAAACGTTAAATTGATTGAAGTTGTTGATGAAACATACATAATAAACGTTAAAAAATACGATGAATACGAAGATAAATTAAATTTTTTAAAAAAGGGAGGTTAGAAATTACCTTCCAAGTTCCTAACCCAAAGACGGGGATTGAAAACCCGTTATTTAGAGAAACTGAAGGAACCGAAGACATTCTTCGTGTTAATGTTGATTAAAACCGCTTAATACGAGATGATTCTTTAAATTAAATACTTTCGTTATCTCAAGTGATGTTTTTATCTTAAACGAGAGAAATGACAGATGTCAAAACTTAAATTGGTTAAGAATCAAACTTAATTTTTATTAACGTTATCACTTTCCTATTTAAAACGTTTTAATGGAATTTCCTTATCTTATAACCTTTATTAAATAATGCCATAAAAACGAATTATTAAAAATTCTTAACGTAATAACTCAAAAAAAGCGGCGCCACCTTTTGGTGTGATTTATTAAAAACATATGTAATTACAGATTTCTTCGAAATAAATGTTAAAATCGTTAAGTTGATTGAAGTTGTTGATGAAACGTACATAATAAACGTTAAAAAATACGATGAATAGGAAGATAAATTAAATTTTAAAAAAAAGTGAGGTTAGAAATTACCTTCCAAGTTCCTAACCCAAAAACGGGAATTGAAAACCCGTTATTTAGAGAAACTGAAGGAACCGAAGACATTCTTGATGTTAATGTTGATTAGAACCGCTTAATACGAGATAATTCCTTAAATTAAATACTTTCGTTATCTCAAGTGATGTTTTTATCTCAAACGAAGGAAATGACAGATGTCAAAATTTAAATCGGTTAAGAATCAAAACAAATTTTTTTATTAACGTTATCATTTTCTTATTTAAAACGTTTTAATGGAATTTCGTTATCTTATAACCTTTATTAAATAATGCGATAAAAACGAATTATTAAAAATTCTTAACGTAATAACTCAAAAAAACGGCGCCATCTCTTGGTGTGATTTATTAAAAACATAATTACAGATTTCTTCGAGGTAAACGTCAAAAACGTTTAGTTGATTGACAGTTGTTGATGAAAAGTACATAATAAACGTTAAAAAATACGATGGAAGCTTGTTGTGCCGTCGAAAAAGAAGTCGACAAGATATTGTCGAAATTCGAGAGTATCGGGGAACACGCCAACAGAACTTTGGGAGAGCTAGTTCAATACATACAGAGTTTAAAACATCAAATTGACAATGGTAAGTTTCTTTATACCTTGAGGTCATTGTTATTGTTCAAACAAAGACTTTTTTCTTCGTAGCACCATCAAATCACGAATTAACACCGATTCAAGTAGACACGTTAAAACAAGCTACGATAAAAGTAAAAGAAACGATTTCAATGTTATCCGCCGACCACAAAGATCTCCACGCGACAGTTTCGAGAGTTGGAAAAGTCATCGATAAGCATTTCATTCAAGATTTCGCCGGCGCCACTAAAGAGGATTCATTTAACACTCCGCAAAAAATCGAATTATTAAATAAAATCATTTGCCAACATTTTTATCGGCAAGGAATGAAAGACGTGGCGCAAGAGCTCGCGAAAGAATCAAGCGTTGAAGTGGAATTAAACGAAAATGAACCGTTCACGGAGTTAAATCACATTTTAGAAAGTTTACGAGAGAAAAATTTACAACCGGCTTTAGATTGGGCCGTGACTCACCGCGAAAACTTAGAGGCACAAAATTCATCACTAGAATTCCAATTACATCGTTTAAAATACATTGAAATTTTAAGAAACGGATCTGCTAATGAAACCGAAGCGATTAATTATGCCCGGACTTTTTTTAAACCGTTCGCTTATAAACACGAAAAAGAAATTCAAACTTTAATGGGAATGATGTTGTATGTTCGCAACGATATTAACAGATCTCCATATAGTTGTTTGTTAGATCCGGATAGGTGGATGGATGTTTATGATATTTTTACAAAAGATGCTTGTTCTTTATTAGGGGTTAGCGTTAATAGTCCTTTATCAACTTGTGTTAATGCTGGGTGTAAAGCAATTCCTGCATTGTTAAATATTAAACATATCATGAAAGAAAGGCAGGTAGCAGCTATTTGGAATGGAAAAGATGAACTACCTGTGAGTGAGGTTATAAAATTTAATACTCGCGTTATACGAATTTGTTTTAGATTGAAATTGATTTGGGAAATGATAGTAGATATCACTCAATGTTTGCTTGCCCGATTTTAAGGCAACAATCGACGGAAAATAACCCTCCCATGAGGTTAATTTGTGGTCATGTTATATCCCGAGATGCTTTAAATAAGCTTTGCAGTGGAAATAAGTGAGTAAAAGATTAAATTATAAACAAAATTGATTGTTTTTTCGTAATTTGTTATAGAATGAAATGTCCCTACTGCCCGATGGAACAAAGTCCAACCGATGCTAGATTAATCTTCTTTTAACACACTTAAAAAAAACGTTTTTTATTTAATTATTATGAAAAAAAACAAAACTAATTTTTTTATAGTGATCTCTACATTTAACAACTTTAAATAGATTAAAAAATAGTTATTAAATCAGTTTAAAAAAACATAACCTCAAATAAATTATCTGTCATTTTTTTGTAGGTTATGTATTTTTGATTTTTTCTTCATTTACGTTAATTATTCGTTTATGTTATTGATTTCCTTAGATGGTAAGTGATATTTATTTATTTTTAGTTAATTTTCTCCTCCGGTTAATCAATTAAAACGAAATACACATTTTTATATGAACGCTGTGAGATTATTTATATCAATAAAGAATGTAATTGTTAAAAAATTACCTTAATTTCCTTAATCATCACTTCTAACTAGTGCAAAACCGTCCTAGATCTTGTGTTAGTTTTAGTGATAGTGTAAAACTAGAACTAACACTAGAAAAGAATTAATTAAAGTGTTAGTTCTAGTTTTAATTGTTATTTAACCCTAAATTCTTCTAAATATATATTTTTTTGATTTAATCCACTTACCTTGCTTATAATTTCATCCATTTACCCATTTTGAATCCAATTATCCAAACTTTAAATCCAATTATGTGTTTTTCACTAAAAAAACTTAAATTCGACGTCCATTTTGACAAGCAACTAATGTTTGGATCTTAATCACCATGGTAACCGAGTCAAAATCAAGTTGGATAACCTTAAAATAATAAAATTTTATTCCGATTTTTTTATCAATTCTAACATAATTTTTATTAATTATAAAACAATTCGAATTCTTTACGATTATCTCGCATTCATAACAAATTCGTTAATTGTAGTTAATTTAAATCGATTCTAATTAAGAGAAATAAATTAAAAATATCTTTTTGATTTAATCCACTTACCTTGTTTATGATACCCTAGATAAACCAATTTTGAGTTAAATACAGCCTTTTAAACAATTAAATAAGACTTTTCCTTTAAAAAAACTTAAATTTAATTTCAATTTTGACAAGCACCTGCAATATTTCGATCTTAATCGCCATGGTAACCGAGTCAAGTTGGATAACCTAACAATAATAAATTTATAACCGTTAATATTTCACTTTATATTTTAATTTTATTTTCTTTTTTTGTGTATTGCTTCTTAAGTGAAATACACTGTATAAAAGTATAAATAAAAACATAGAAATGGCGACTGTTCAATGATTTTTCGTACATGTACAAAACGTCAAATTTCTTTTTGATTTCAACAATAAAATAATTTATTACAATTTCACATTTCGCTTTAATTCACGTTATAAAATCGAATAATAATGAAATAATGAATAATTAATAAATATTTTAACGAAATACGTTGATAATGAATTATTTTTTTATGTAACTTTTCGATGTTTTAAAAGTCTATGAAAACGTCACATCAAGTGTCAAAAAATAATAAATGACAGGTTAACTCAGGTAACAAACTAACAAGAACTTTTAATCACAATTTAGTTTTCTGATGGATAAACCCATCGAACTTATAAACATGGAACCTGGGAATTACCACAAAAATATCAGTCTTGAGGGGTTTATAGGAGATTCAAAATCAAGCTCTTTAAATTCTAAACAAGAAACTGTAAGTAAACAATCATTAATAATTTATTTGTATTTAATTAATGTTTTATAGACTAGTTGGGGAAAAACGTCCCCAAGTAAAAGTTATTGCTCCTCGAGCTCAACATCAACAGAAAATGTCGTTTCTACTTTGGAAAGAAGAAAAATAACGAAGGTAACATTTTGTTGAGGTTATGATTTTTTTTTAATTAATTTTTAATCAACATTTAGGCAAATACTGAAGCAATTTTGAATTCTCGAGCTGATGAAATCCCTTTATTCCCCGGTGAGAAGATTTCAGAGCAAGCGAGAGACGTAACTTACGTTTGTCCTTACAATGGCCCCTCGAGAGGAGTTTTAACCGTTACAAATTACAAACTTTATTTTCGATCAACGGATAAAGATTTAAATACAATTATTGATGTTCCTTTGGGTGTGGTAAGATTTTAATCAAAGAATTAAGGATTCAATCCCTAAATTTTTATTTTTTAAGGTTTCTCGAATAGAAAAAGTAGGGGGTTTATCATCTCGAGGTGAAAACGCGTACGGAATTGAAGTTTTTTGTAAAGATATGAGAAATTTAAGGTTCGCACATAAACAAGAAAATCATTCTCGTAGAGATATGTTTGAAAGACTTCAACAATTTGCGTTCCCCCTTTCGAATAAATTAAAACTTTTCGCTTTTGAGTATTCGGAAATGTTCCCAGAAAATGGGTGGGCTGTTTATGAACCAATCGCTGAATTAAAACGAATGGTTATTATTTTTATTTATTTATATATTTTTTTAATTTTATTTATCTCATGTGAAAAAATTAAAACTAAGTCTAGGTGATATATATATATCATATCAAATAAGTATGCTGTAGACATAGGCAAAATAGAGATTTCTGATTGCATTAATGTTAGAAAAAGCTGCCATGGATCTAATAATAAATGATAACATACGCCAGGCTTTGGAGACAACAGCATCAATATGTTTATCAAATAATAATTTATAATCAAATGTAACACCCAAATCTCTAATAAATGAGACACATTGCAACCTCTCACCAGCTATGCTATAATTGTAGTGGATTCTGTTCACTCTCCTAGAGAAGGAAATAACATTAAACTTTCATAAGTTTAATGATAGACGATTATTTAAGCAAAAAGCATGTAGATTATTTAAGTCAGATTGGAGCCTAGAACAATCAAGAGGTGAAGAGATACAGAGAAAAAGTTTTAAACGACGTCAAATATGTCGTTAACATAAATATTAAACAGTAAAGGGTTAACAATTTCTCCTTCAGATAAAATTTCCCCTGAATACCAAAATTTTTTAGTTTAAACAGAAATAAGTTGTGATCCACCCAGTCAAAAGCTTTACTAAAATCTGTGCAAACTGAATCAACTTGATTTTAGACTTAAGGGCAAAGAATAGGTGTGCTGGTTCATGCACACCTATCTTTGCCCTCTAAAATGCTGGCAAAACAGATATGGGGCGATAATCAGATATAACACCAGACTCCCCAGATTTATAAATGGGAAGAATAAAAGCCCACTTCGACAATAAAGGAAAGATACCCTTTATTAATGAAGCATTAAATATAATAGTTAAAAGAAGGGACAGAGACTGTGAACATTCCTTGATTAAAATTGATGGAATACTAACACTGTCTATAACCCTGATATCCATCAAGGCCTCCTCAACCTCAATTCTGTCAAAGTCAGTGTTTTAAATACCCTTGTACATATTTATTTTCAAGGGTTTATTTTCAAAATTGAGTGGATGGCAGTTTTGCAAGCATTGCAAGAACGCATAGTTGATTAGCGATATACTAAACTTATTTATAACATCTACAAGAATACTACAATGACGGTAAAATTGCATGAAAGACTGAAGAGAGTAGAGTAGTTGAACCCTTTCACTGAGTAGTTTACACTGTTGAGCCCAAATTGTTCATCCCAGTTCTGGAGAGTGCATTAACAACTGGATTGGACCCAAAAAGTCATAAACATTGATGGCAAATTCCTAAGTAATTTGCGCTACGCGGATGATATAGTTCTTATTTCGGATGGCCTTGGAGAGATTAAACTCATACTGAACGACTTAAAGGAGGTGTGTGCAAGAGTCGGGATAATACCAACAAAATTTAGGACAAATCTTGTTCCCAGCTCTAACATCAACATTGGGAATGAGATCTTGGCTATGAGGTTCGTGTATCGAGGGATAATCAAACAAGCGAACTAAACAGAAGCCTACGGGAAATTTAGGGACATCTTCAAGAGAAAAGGGTTTCAATCAATGTGTTTCCGGTTATGACATATGGCTCCAAAACTTTAACATTAACGGTAGCCACTGCCAGGAGGGTCCAAGTAACGCAAAGATAGATGGAGAGGTCGATCCTGGGTGTAACTCTGAGGGACTATACACGAAATGAAGACTTATGAAGAATACACGATGTGGTCAACATTGTAACAAAGCTTATGTAGAACTGGGCGAGTTATGTCGCGTGAATGAAGATAGAGCAGTGGACAAAATGATTGCTTGAGTGAAGACCGCGAGCGAACAAACGAAGTAGACGTCAAAAAAATGACCAACAATTGGATTCAGACAGCACAAAGCTATGTCCAATAATGAACGCAAAGGACTTGATGATAATAATCATAATAAGTTGATATAATCTAAATTACGACAGATTCGTCTGATGATAATACGTCTTTGATTGTTGGTTGTTTGTTGGAAAAAAACGTCTTCCTCTTCATTTTTTTTTGGAATCTGATACATTTTTACTGGTATCACTTTTATACACGCAATATAGAAATACCTACCCGCCGGGTATTTACCCAGCGCCCATCACTGATCAAACTGCATCTGATTCATAGGAAGGGCATCCGTTTCCACACAATCTACATTTTGCTGAATTGGAGCAGGATCAACAAAAACCGAATAAAAGAAATCAGCGAACAATGAGGAAATAGAAATGACATCCGTACGCTTCTTAGACTTACTAAAAGCCCAAAACACCTTTAATTCAGATTGGATATTACTTTCAGCTCTTCTAACATACTTTGCACGACTCCTTAGAATTGAAAAAGTGAAATACTCAAGTCGTTTTCTCTCGAATTACTTTAATGGTATTATATGAAACCCAAGTAGGAAAACCCTTGGTAGTTTTGCGTTTTAAAGAGACAAATTCACGTATAGCAGTATTGGCATAGTTAGAAAAAATTTGAACAGCGTCGTTGATATCACGACCAGCGAGTTCGGATTCCCAGTTAATTTCGTTAAATTTAATTCAGGAAACCAAGCTTTTCTAAAACAGAAAGCGGCACCATGAAAACTTAAGAGTGGAGTGCGCACTGTCGTCAGAAACTAACGGATCACTACAAAGATAAATTTGATATACATCGGTAGAATTAGTAATAACAAGATCAAGTGTGTTTAAAGAAGAATTTTTATGATAATTTAGTAAATAATTTAGAATTTAGCAAAGGGAACGAACATACAGTGGCTAAACCGAAATCCAGATCAAGTGACCAGTTTAATTCAGGCAACTTTACTTTTTTTATTTATTTACTCTCACGGAACACAGCGCCAACACAAACCCAATTGAAGCTGTGCTACTAAAAAGATACAACAAGATAGAAAAAAAAAGGACACCAAAAACTTAAATCAGTATCTTAAGTTGTGTAAATAATTTGACAAAAATAAAAGAGATAACTAAAAAATGAAACAATAAAGTATAATAGATTAAAAATAAGTGAAAAATCGAGATATCTAACAATCAACACGTGAAAAGACGGTCAGCAGAGCGAGCAGAGTGCAACAATGGCGAATGCTGATAGGCGTTAGTGCGCGGCGTTGATTGGCAAGTCGAGTCGTAGTCAACATAGGTAGTATGACATTTTCAGCATAAAAAACGAAGGAACCTCTTTTGGATACGCTCTAATCGTTCCACGAATATATCATATTGTGGATTCCATACAACAGTATAATAGAGGGTCATTAATGAATTAGTGTCTGCAAAATCAGCAGTTGATCTCATGACGAATCCAAGCATACGAAAAGCCTTGCCAACCACCAAATAGACATGCTCATTGAATAATAGCTTACTATCAAACGTCACGCCCAAATCCCTTATAGAAGTAACCCTGTTTAACAACTTGCCTCCAATGATGTAGTCAAAGCGTATAAGACAAGGCTTTTTTATAAAAGTGATTGTAAAGCATTTGCTATAATTTATGGTGATAAAGTTTATAAAACAATTCGTATAGATCTCGCTGAAGAACAGAACAGTCTCTAGGATTAGACACGCAGCAGAAGATCTTTAGATTATCTGCATACATTAAACAGTTAGGGTTCTAAAACACTTAAATGTGTCATTAATATAAATATTGATAAGCAAAGGTCTAAGAATGTTTCCCAGAGGGACGTCGGATGAGACTGATACCGCCTGCGAGGAAAAATCTTTAACTCTAACCGAGTGCGTCCTATTAACCACATAGGAAGTAAGTGTAATTCGAGTCTTTACCGAACAACCAGCAAAAAATCCGTGTTATCGAGGGTCCAAAACATTTTTTACAGTGTAAAAAATATATTAAGCTCTCAAGGACCTTGCCGAAAATGGGCAATAAAGAAATTGGTCTATAGTTTTCGATTAAGCTTCTACAACCAGATTTAAAAATAAGAGAGGCTTGCTTCCAGATTAGTGGGAAGACACAGTCTTTCAGAGATCTATTGAATAGGATTTTTAGGAACAATTTTTTATTATAATAAATAAGGGTTAACGGCTCTAAAAGCTTTCAAGACCTTGAAATTGTAGAGACAAGTCGCAAAAAGTTTATTTGTCTCTTATTTTTATTAAAAACAAAAATTATTAAAATATTCTTTTTTAGGGTATTAATAACGACATGTGGAAAATCACCAAAATAAACGATAATTACGAAATTTGCGACAGCTATCCCGCAGTTTTAGCCGTTCCAGCTCAAGTTACAGACGAAGAAATAAAAAATGTTGCTAATTTTCGGAGCCGCGGTCGAGTTCCCGTTTTGAGTTGGATTCATTCCGAATCGCAGGCCACTATAACTCGATGTTCACAACCGTTGGTTGGTGTTAGTGGAAAAAAATGTCGTGATGATGAGAAATTTATTTCGTTAATTATCGATGCTAACGCTCAATCCGATAAAATGTTTATTTTGGATGCTCGACCCAGTGCTAACGCCATGGCTAATAAACCAAAAGGAGGGGGGTAAATAAAATTATTTTACAATTAAAAAAATGATTACGATTATATTCTTAGATACGAATCTGAGGATGCTTACAAAAACGCCGAGCTTGTTTTTTTGGATATTCATAATATTCACGTTATGAGGGAATCTTTACGGAAACTTAAAGAGCTTTGTTTTCCTACGATCGAAGAAACCAAGTGGTTATCTGGGTTAGAATCAACATATTGGTTGAAACATATTAAGTGTATCTTAGCTGGTGCTGTTAGAATCGTTGATAAGGTTCAATTTTATTTTTTTTTATTTTAAAATTTAATCTATATTTATTTTTATAGGTTGAAAATCATAAAACATCAGTTTTAGTTCATTGTTCTGATGGTTGGGATCGAACAGCTCAACTTACAGCTTTAGCTATGTTAATGCTTGATCCATATTATCGTACGATAAAAGGATTTGAAGTTCTAATTGAGAAGGAGTGGTTATCTTTTGGGCATAAATTCCAACAGGTTAGGTTTATTTCGCTTCAATCATAAATAATTAATTGTTTTATAATCAATAGAGGGTTGGACATGGCGATAATCATCATTCCGATGCTGATCGTTCCCCCGTTTTCCTTCAATTCATCGATTGCGTCTGGCAAATAACCCAACAATATCCAAATGCATTCGAATTTAACGAGTACTTCTTAATAACGATTTTAGATAATCTTTATTCCTGCCGATTTGGAACGTTTTTGTACAACAGCGAAAGAGAACGAGTTGAACAACGTAACATAAACTCAAAAAAAACATTTTTTTTCTAATTACAACTAAAATTTCAACTTATTTCTTAAAGGTGTTAAAGAAACGACCGTTTCTCTTTGGTCTTACACTAATAGCCAATTAGAATTGTATTTAAACCCGCTATATTGGGCGAATCCCCATCAACAAGAAGTGTTGATTCCGATTGCGAGTTTAAGGAATATTCGGCTTTGGAAAGCGTATTATTGTAGGTGGAACCCAAGTATGCGTATTCAGGTTATTATATACACAACATACAATAACATACAATATTATAAATAATGATTTTTTTTAGGACCCCGTATATCAAAGAATCAGGGAGTTACTTCGATTGAAAGAGCAATTCCAAAAGCAGGTTGAAGAATGTCGAAAAGAACAACAATTACGATTAACAAAGGCGAATTCTTCGTCACCTTAATTAAAATATCAATTATTATAAATTAACTTTAACCAAAAATAAAAATTCGATTATATTCCTTATTTAATAAAGATGAAAAGTAATTAGAAATACATTATTAACAACAAAAAGTTTTTCGATTTAATTTGTTAATTTGAATTACCCGCCAATAAAAAAATTCGGTTCACGTAGAAGAGATGGCGCTAGTTTGCGTCGTGACGTCACATATTGATCAAAATCTGCCATAGTCGGCGTACGCCATTTTGATTTAAGTGAAAAAAGTTACATTAGTGCTAAAAGTGATTGTGAAATCTGTGATCATCCGTCCTAATTTCGACGAGCCGGGGATTATTTATTGTTATTTACGGTTTACCCATCTGGACGGACCAAGGTAAGTCGTTATTTCAACCCCATCCGTATTCGCCGTTTCATAATACGACGATGTTTTTTCGTTGGGTACCCGCCGAGGACGCATTCCGTTTGTTACCGTTAGAAAACGAAAACTGCCTTTATTTCGTACAAGTTCAACGTTACGAAGGTATTTCTAGTGAAAAAATCATCGATCGTTTATGTATTTGTTACGGAAAGTCAGTTTTTTTGGCATTTTCGGGTTGGGTTCGAAGATTTCTTCGATCCTCTTTGTAATCGTTTTTCTAACAGAGGCCCCACTTTTAACTTAACCTTTTTATTTGCCTCCTTTTACTTTCACTACCGTTTTTTTAAAACTTTGTTTTCAACATTTTTCGTCACCCAATTTTAAGATTGGGAAAAAAGTTTATTTTTTTTATTATCTACTCATATTGTTATTGTATGAGTCATTATTCTCAGCATCCTGCATTTATTTAAAAGTTTTTTTAATAAAACCTCTTTTTGGCTGGTTAATTTTGTGTTAATAATAATAACATAACCTCAATTGTGATTTTTTTTTATTTTTTAGAAGAAGGGTTCGTTCGCTGGGTCCTGGAGATCTAAATGGTTGCGTGCGGACAGCATGTCTACTTTGCCAGGGCTGGCCTCCAAAGGCGAGAAGGGAAAAGCGAAGTTTCAGTCGTTAGATATAAATAATCTTTACAGAGTTAGTCGTGTAAGTACTCCTTAGAATTGTACTTAATTTTTTTTATGTGTGTAAATTATTCCAAATTAATTGAGTGTTAATGAATGAATTAGGGTGAATCTTTGGAAAAAGCGCAACAAAAAAGTACACTAACCTTCAAACATGGCATGCAAAGTCTGGGAAGAGTGCCCAGCGCTAGAAGACCGCCAGCAAATCTTCCCTCAATAAAATCTGAACATAGCGGTACCGACGCCGCCGTTTCCTTAGTACCTTCCGGCGGTCCAGGATGGGGACAAAAACAAGAATCTTCGACTCCTTTAACCACAACCACTTTGCCGACCCCAACAACACCCACCAGTTCTTCGAACGTGAGCAGCCCAACTTCAACGAGCGCCGCCGCCTTAACACCTTCTGCGGTTGCGGTCGCAGTACCGCCGTTGGTGGCGTCGCCGATTTTGGCCCCGAAACACACCTCCCCGGCCGCTCCTCCCATCGTCGGAGGCGCCGCAACGGACAAATCATGGAGTTCTGTTATGGCCGGAAGCGATCCGCTTCATCCACCGCCATATCAGAGTCCACAGTTCCAGCACGAGTTTCCCAGTTTGGCAGGAGATGGGGGAGGTGGCTCTGGAGGCGGAGGAGGTGCACCTCGACCTGGCATCGATACCCAATATGGACCTGGACCGAGTCTACGGCCACAGACAGAAGGTTCTTGGACGCAAGGGGGTTCGCGAACTGCGGTAGATGGACCACCACCACGCAGCAACTCGGCCCCCCTGGGGGGCCCACCGCAGCTCTCGGCCCAGGTCGGCCTACAACAACCATTACCGCCACAGTTTCATGGAATTCTTCCTGGATTTGTATGAATTTAATATCTGATTGTTCATGAGAAAACTCACATAGTTAAATCCCAACAATCTTTCAATTTAAACAAATTATGGTAAGGTTTATTGTAATCATAGAATGTTTCTATGTGAGTCTATAATTTATCAAAATCAAGAAATAAACTCACAATTAAATTTAGATATAAGCCATCATTCAAACAGTATTTAAATTATCAATTTATATCAAAAATATATTCGAAAGAAATTGAAAGAGTTACTTGCTAATGATGGTAATAAAGCAAGTTTGTTCCAAAAACAATCCCTTTTTGTGGCAACAGTATCATTATAAACGGTTGTTTTTTACACCTTGTTGAACAAAAAATTTCTATTTGTTGTGTTCAGTAGGTGTTGTTTTTACGTTTCTTGTTATTTCTCAAGAAACACATCGGTTTAGAAGAAATATTACTCTTAATTTTTTCTGTGAAGTTTATATTGATCAATTAATCAAAATTGTTAGAATAGAAGAATAATCGCGTCTAATGCAAGTAGCATAATCTCCAAACAGAAGCCATTTGGATAAAGTATAGCCTCTACAAAAACCTTCATTATCAAGTGTTGTTAATGTTAGTGTAGAAAATGTGTATGCAATAGAGGTTAATATTTTACTTATTGTGTAAGACATAGTTGAGGAAATTGAAATATTCATATTGTAATAACATAATATTACTTCATTTTAAAATTTTATCATCAATTTTATAATTGATTTATTAAAAATGAATCAATTCGACTTCAAATCTTCGTCGACTTTTTTGATTTTTGTATTGATATAAAAACCACTATCCTTATACAGGGTGTATTAGGTATGAATAGAAAAAATTTGAGGGGTTATAGGTCTCCTCTTTCTGAATAAAAAATTCTTATAACACAATGCCCCATTCTTTGTCCTTCTTAAGATATGATAGGATAAAGTTAAGGATTCACAAGTTTGAGTACTACTGGTTAATGAATTATACTAAGCAGGCTTTGCTATGCAATTTGTAATTTGTTCTTTTTAATACAATAAGCAAGTTAAAGAAGAGTGATAAATTTATTGGTATAAAGTAAATAACCTCTAAAAAAAATCTCAAAAATGACTTTTATGTGTCAAATTGAAGCTATATTACATAAACAAAGCCTGCTTAATATAATTCTTTATACTGCAGTACTTAAACTTTCAAACCCTTAACTTTATCATATCAGGTTCGTTCCAACCGCACTTTTGACTGCCAATTGACAGTCACCAGCCTGCGCAGTTGAAAAGTGCTGTTCCATCCGACCTGTGGACGTGCCGCGGACTGGTCGGCAACAAGTTGTCATGAGTTCCAGCGACCGTCGGACATGTACAGGGTGTCCACATTTCGATGGGTTTGCAGGGTATCTCAGTTATTATGAAAGGTAGAAAGTTGCGGCTTTCGCGAACCTGAGCTACTTTTTTGTGAAACTTACAATGGCGCAAACCAAATTTTCATAGCCCTTTTCGTTTTTGATATACAGGGAGTGTTTCAAAATTTACGATTTTCAGACACCCCTGTATGTCGGCTATCCGGAAACGTAAAAATGGGTTCTAATAGATTTTTTCACGTAGAATCCAACGGTGCACGTAGAATTTTTCTAGTCATCAAGGTTTTTGAGTTATAAAGAGTTAAGTATTTTAGAAGTTGAGTATTCAGTATTTGAGTTGTGTTTATAACTCAAAAACCGTGATGACTAGAAAAATTCTACGTGCACCATTGGATTCCACGTGAAAAAATCTATTAGAACCCGTTTTTACTTTTTTACTAAGTTTCCGGATAGCCGAGATACAGGAGGTGTCTGAAAATCGTAAATTTCAAACACTCCCTGTATATCAAAAACGAAGAGGACTATGAAAATTTGGTTTGCGCCATTGTAAGTTTCACAAAAAAGTAGCTCAGGTTCGCGAAAGCCGCAACTTTCTACCTCTCATAATAACTGAGATACCCTGCAAACCCATCGAAATTTAGACATCCTGTACGCGTCCGCGACAACTCAAATGCGTACCTGGTTTCGACGATGTACGGTTTGTCACGTTCTTTAGCGCTTGCGCATAACAGAGCATAACTCATTTCCAATTGTGCAGCCGGTCTGTTTGTATCTCTTATGGGTATCTTTACCATCAAGCGGGTCTGTCACGACGAGCTGAGTCTATATCTATGTGGCAAACTACTGGCACTATTTCTCTGAAAATTTGCATATAGCGTTTATCCGAGGTGCTCGTTTCAGCTAAAATATTTTCAGTGTTCTCCAACTTCCGGTTATACCGGAAATGAACCCCAACGTCGCTATTTTAAATGGAATGTACCAATTTTTATTGAATTTTGAAGATCCCCACTAAATTTCAATATAATTTGATATAAGTCATCATATGTCTAGAGTGTTTCAGTTTTTTCGAAAATTATGGCAGATGCAACCCTTCACAATAAAAGTAATTTTTCGAAATTACACTCGAGTCCGGCCAAATATTCTCAGGGTTTGCACAGAGAGGACCCATAGTTTACATAACCCTTGAAAAGTCTTTTAAAAAATTATACAGATTGGTCAAAAATTTTTCCCGAATTTCCCTATCTCGAAAAGTCGAAAACTTCATTTTTTTAAATTGCAACCCTAATTTGGGGGTTCCTTTCCAAGTATTCCTTTTCGTGACAGACCCTGTACATTTGGATTTGGATTATTCTCTACTCTTTTACATGTTTCTGGAATTTTATTTAACAAATTTTTAACAACTTTTATTTCATATGCATGTTTCATGATAAGTTTCAAATTAATCAAAAAAGTGTAAAAACATGCATCTTTTTATTTCATTTTTCTAGTAAGGGTTATTACGTTTTTTTTACATTTCTAATTAATGCTACTTTAGTTCATTATTGTTAAAAAAATGAGTAAATGGATTTCGTTTGAAATGGTAAATTGTGGTTGCAGCGCTAACTATCGGTAGGGTTGGATATAAAACGTACATAGAAATTTCAAACCGTTCCAACAGCGTTGACGAAAATATGTACGCGTACATGTGTCCACGGACGAACATGCGCAGAAAAAGTCCTGTACTAGTCGTGTACGCGTACACGACGAGTCAAATTTGTGCGGTTGGAACGAACCTATCATATCTTAAGAATGGGACATTGCGTTAAAAAAAATTTTTTATTCAGAAAGTGAAGACCCTATAACCCTTCAAATTTTTTCTACTCATACCTGATACACACCTGTATAAAGATCTCTCATCTTAACTTCATATTAACTTTATGTTAATCTGAAGATATAGACCGACTACAAATATAATTTCTGAGCACAATTTAGCGACGAATTTCAGCTCTATTTTGGAGGAAACGAAGATGATGATATTTTTATTTGTAAATTGTTTTTTTGTTTATTCATTTTTTTTTACAACACCTTATTTATTTGCATATTCTTAATCTTCCGTAAAAGTACTCTAAATAATTTTGGAATCTTAAAACTTGTTCATAAAATTAACATTTTTCAAAATAATGTTTTGTATTAAATTACTTGAACAATATAATTAAGTATCACTCACAGTATCGCGTCATAATCCAGTTCTCTTGTCTGGTTCTATCTAGCACTTTGGTTTTGTCGAAATCAATGGTGTGTCCTTTGTGGCAATGCTCTGATTGTTGGATCTTATTCCCTCTCATGTTTCTTGATGCGGCACTCGATGTTACGTATAGTTTGGACAACGTAACACTTCGCGCAATTGCATGATAGCCGGTTGACTCTGGTAGTCTTCATAATATTGGCTACTGATGTTGCTTATTTTGTTCATTAGTTCTGGTAAGCTTTCTCTGCTGTTAGTGAATGTTGGTATTATCTAGGGTTTCCTTGAATACTTCTTCTGAGTGGAAATTGAATAAAAGTAGAGAAAAATGTAGCCCAGCATTAATCTTAATGATGTCTGACTAGTTCCAGTAAATGTTCCGTGTGATCCTATGTTCTTTGTCGTCCATCCCTGTGTTCTCCAAAAACCTCCATCATCTTTTTGTGTCGTACCTTGTTGAATTGAACACCTTGTAGCGAACAAAGCAAGCGAGAAAACTTCATTGCAGTGCTAGAATAATACTTGTAGGCAGAACTCCTTTCATAAACCCAAACAGCGTGCCTGATATTCTTTCTTCACATCGTTTAACATGTTATTCATGAGGCTGATGGTTCTGTAATGACTTACCTTATCTCCCTGTTTCTTACAGACTCTCATAGATTGATTAAAGCCTTCTTAATCTGAATTCTTAGCTCTCAATGACTAAAAGTTAGGTTGAGTTGAAAGAAATTTCAAATTTACATAGAAATTCGATTACAATAAACTTCGTGGCTTATTATTATTCTGTTTTTATTAAAAGTAAAATAATTAACTAAGTTGGTTTTCTCGTGCACCCTCACGTTAAAAACAATAATAATTAAACTTACCTCTATTGTTTAGATGTTGAGAGGTAATCAACCGCCAAACGGACACGGAACAAACATAACAAATTTACCCACCCCAATGTTGAATGTATCGAGAATTCGAGATGGTCGTCCTCAACAGCAGCAACAACAACAATCTGGGCAACGATCGTCAGTCGAGTCGGATGATGTTGCCGCGAGACGACCGATTATAAAAGAAGAAGATTTGAATCGAATGGATGATATGACGAAAGACATGGGTTGGGCCGCACAAGATGAGATCGATTATAATCAAAAATTGGCCTTTAGCGATGAAGAATCTTCGGAGAAAAATATTCGAAATAAAATGAAATTGGATAAAGACGAGAAACAACCGGATTTGGATTCGCAAAAAGTGTGGAATCGACCTTCGATTAATCGTCGAGCTCCCGACGAAGACGAACTTTTGGCGCAAAAACGTCGACAACAACAACAAGTGATTGTAAATGTGTCGGAAAGAGCCAAACAGCGTAAAGAGGAAGAAGTGAAATTGAAATTGAAAAGAGAAAAAGAACAGGAAGAAGTTTTATCTAACCCTCAAACTAATTCCGATGAAGAAAAAACTAAACAAGCGCACGATAACGATTTTCGCCAATTAACTTCAATAGAAGGTCGCGCTTTTATTCGGCGAGATCAACAAAGAGGGGGACCGGAAGCGAGAAACGGATCTAATTCGAATTTTAAGGAATCGGAATTTAATAGGAATTCCCGCCAACCCAATTTACCTCCGAGATTACAAAAGATACATCAAAAGAGGAACAATCCAAGTCCACAACCACCAATGCAAATATCTTCATATACTCCTTATGATAATCGATCATCAACTCATTGGTCGAGTCATTCGAATCAAAACATAAAACCAAAATGGGAAGAAATCGATAAAGACGATAAAGAAATGCGTCGTAGACCGCCATATTCAGAGTCAAACAGGCGACAATCCGAAAGTCGTTTTGACGAGTACGATTACAAAAAAGAAAAGGAAGATAAATGGGGCGAGAAAAAAGATAATAAAGATGAGATTAAATTCGATAGTAGCAGTATTAGTCGTCAAAATAGCGAGGAGTGGCACAGTAACGAAAGAGTTCCGCAATTTGAGAAAGCCCCCGAGCGTTTTGACAGACCTCAAAGACCTGACAGCCGAGACTCGAGAACCTCACGCGATTCCAAACACTCCCGCGATTCGGAATCGAGAGAACATTTGGGTTCTTGGGCCGAAAATATTAATTACGATGAAAAACGAAAAGAAAAGGAGGATCGGAGAACGGTTCCGGGTCCAATAACTAAAGAAAAAATCGAAGCCGACGAAAAAATAAGCGAAAAAAGGAATTTAACTCAATTAAAAAAAGGAAGTATTCCAGAGAAAAAAATTGAGATTCCAATTGAAGAAAATAAATGTTCTTGGGCTGATGACGTCGCAACTTTACCCGATTTAAAACCGATTCAAGATAAAAGCGAGAAATTAGAAGCTAATAAAGAAGAGGTTAAACTGGAAATGCGAAAAGATGATAAAGAAAAAGATGATAAACAACGCCCAATGCGGCCGTTTTTAAATAGAAACCGTTCTGGAAGAGGAAATTGGGACTCTCAATCGTATAATAATAAAAAATCAGGGAGAGGATCGAGATCTGGACGCGTTTCTTCGAAAATGGGGGATTTCCACGCCACTGATTCCGAAGAATCCATCGAAGATAACACCCAAAAAAGCCCCAAACCAATTCGAAAAATAGAAAAGGACGAAAAAAATAAAGAAAAAATTATCCCTGAAAGAAAAATTGATAACAAAAAAGAAAGTTATGAACCGCGTGGGGAACCTTCACGTCACGGAAGAGGTGGTTCTTCTAACATCCGCGGACGTGGTGGAGCGTGTGTTAGTAAAAGATTCGACACTTACGGACCACCCCCAAAAAGTCCCTTCGGTCATTTCGAAGATAAAGATAAAAAATCAACGGAAGAGTCTCAAGAAACGATATTTGACGCCGAAAATAAAACGCCCGGGGTTATTGGAAGTTCTCGAAAAGATCCCTCTTTAATGCGATCCGAGAAAAAACACGAAGATAAATACGATAGGGGTCGAGATAACAGAGATAGATCAAGAAGAGATCGAGATAATAACAAAAAAGGAAAACGAACCGAAAATGGGGGAGATACATCCGAACATTCAGACGATAGCGTCAATAAATCAAGAAGAAATAAATCCCCACTTAGAATTAATCGCGGATTAAACCAAGGAATGCGAAGAAACGCCCCCCCAAGACTCTCAAATAACGAAAAAAGAGCATCGTTTAGAACCGAAAATCCACCCCCGAGACAAAACTCAAACGGTTCTTTACGATCAACAGCAATAACCAAACCGGAAGCGTTCAAATCGGAGGTGAAGGATGAAAAAAATGAAACGAATAGCGCCTTGATAATCGCGGACATTAATATTAAAGAAACCCAGGAAGTTATTGAAATTGGCGATGGTGAAGTGGAAGATAAAATTAATCAAGGCGATTCCGACGGGTTTCAAGAAGTTAAAAGTAAAAAGAACGTTAAAACAACAAAAATAATTGAGGAAAAACCGTTCACCAAGCCAATTTCGTGTACTTCTAAACCGGAAATGAAACCAATCGATAGAAAACCAAAACCTTATAACGCAAATCAACATCCGATTTCTCAACAACACATCGCGAATATTCCATCTTTGATGGATACACCGATTAATCCCCCGTCGGTTATTCCCCAATCGAATAAAGCCCAGTATGATCGTAATCGACAAAAACTCCCCCCTCGTTTTGCTAAGCAAAGGGAAAATAGTCGATTACAAAAGATGCAGCAAGGGATGTGCGATATTGAGTTAAATAAAGTAAATCAAAACATGAATTTGTACGGAATTAAAGATGGCCCCTCGAATTTAGCAACGATGAGTAATGCATGGGAGAAACCATTAGGTCAATTGAGAGGTAATATTGAGGCGGAAATTGCTCTCCCCGTTTTGGAAAATTGCAAAGTTATGGATCAACCTCATTCACCCGCACAAAATTCAAGTCCTAATAGTGAAAAAGTAAGTTTTTACCAAGGACAGTAGAATCTAACAGAAGTGCTACATCTATTGTTGTGACAATGTGCAAAACTACGTCACATCATTTGCCACACCCAGCTGTTGTTGTGCTCTAGGCGTTTGCGTATTGTATCATATAACCTCTAAAAATATACAGCAAACGCATAATGACAGTTAACAGGGCGTGGAAAATAGTGTGACGTAGAATGCAGGCAACCAACCCGTAGTGGGCGACAAAATTACTATGGTAGTAGAAACCACGAGAGCTGGCAGTAAGTCATCGCTTAAAAATGGTATGAATCAAGAAATGGACATTGATTATTTCACCACATACATTTAAATGTAGGTTATGTTAAGTTATATGTCAAACATTGTCAAAGATATACAGGGTGTATCTGAATGACGTGCCCAAACTTCAGGGGGTGATTCTTTAGGCAATTTTAAGGGTACTTTCTCATATAAACTATCAGCGATTTCGACTCCCCTGCGGAGCTACGCCCCTTCAAAAATGGCGAAAAATTTTGGTTTATTTTATTTTTCCCGAAAACCATTAACACCAAGAAAATGAAATTTGAGAAATATGTTTAGCTTCTAATAGGGCATGTTTCGAGCCTATTTGTACTTTCAATCTTCCCTTCTAAGTTACTAAACATAACCACCCCCGTTCAATTTTTGTCTAGATCTTTTTTATGACGATGATAAATACATTGGAAATATTTTATTTAGATAGACGAAAATATTCTAAAACTTTTTTGCCTCTCTGATGTTCTTCGAAAAGTTAATAGTTTCTGAGAAAAAAATTAATTAAGCAAACACTAACTGTTAAGCTGTAGCGTTGTTAATCGAAAGTTGGAATGAATTTTTAAAGAAAAAATCTTAGCAGGCTTTGCAATCTTTGTCAGAAATATTTTTGACGTTTAAATGTCAGTGGTTTTCTTACTATTATTATTGTTTTATTTAAAATTTTGAAACGTCGAGTGAACGAGCGTAAATGCGGTAGAACTTTATTCATAAATTAATTTGAAAAACAATAATAATAGTAAGAAAACCACTGACATTTAAACGTCAAAAATATTTCTGACAAAGATTGCAAAGCCTACTAAGATTTTTTCATTAAAAATTCATTCCAACTTTTGATCGACAACCCCGTTGTTTAACGGGCAGTGTTTGCTTTATTATTTTTTTTCTCAAAAATTAGTCGTTTTTGGAAAAATTTTAGAGAGACAAAAAAGTTTTAGGATACTTTCATCTACCTATGTAATTTTTTTTTAAATGTATTTACCCTCTGCATAAAAAAATTTTAGCAAAAATGTAAAGGGGGTGGTTACGTTTAGTAGTTTACAAGGATAGGTTGAAAATCCAAATAGGGTGAAAACGTGCCCTACTACCAGTTAAACATATTCCCCAAATTTCGTTGTCTTAGCGTTTATGGTTTTTGAGAAAAAAATATTAAACCAAAATTTTCCGCCATTTTTGGAGGGGTGTAGCTCCTTAGGGGAGCCCAAGTCGCCCATGGTTTATATATCAAAGTACCCTTAAAATTGCCTAAAGAATCACCCCCTGAAGTTTGAGCACGTCATTCAGATACACCCTGTATATTAAAGTACCCTTAAAATTGCCTAAAGAATCACCCCCTGAAGTTTGGGCATGTCATTCAGATACACCCTGTATAGGAGAGGTTAACCAGTGAAAAAGCGTTAATATTAATTTATAATAATTTAAAACGTTCATAAACATCAGCATAAATTAAACACTAACAGATTCACGACAACCCTCACAAGACGTTTCGATTTGAGGTTAGGATTACAACCTAAGCCTTGACGTCACAGAGATGGGCGGAGTTTATATCGACTCCAAACAATTTTGTTGCTAACTGTGTTGCTAATGGTAAATTGCCATATGCAATTTTTCAATTAATCTTAGGGCCGGTTTATCAATATCTAGTTAAGACGATTTATGTCAATTAAAATTGTAGCTGATAGATAACGTCGATGAATCGTTTATCCACCCGTAGTTTAGGGTTATCTTATAGGTAAATATGACATTTGGATACCTACCAGATTGAAGTACTGGTTGAGGGTTTACCTATTAGATATTGTCGGAAATTTAAAAAAATGTGCGCGCAAGTTGGTTGCTTGGTGAAAGGAAATGACAACAAAATCAAAATATAACGTCAAAAATAAATTAAGCTTATAATTGTGGTGATGGATAAACAATAGAAAGTCAAATGATCATCGAATTTTAGTACAGTAGATAGGTTTGGCAAACAAATATAAAAATGTTATAGAAAATAAATAATAATCTAATAATTAAAAAAAAATTGACAAGATTGACAAAACTGTCCTTTTTTAACCGAAATTTAACAAAAAAATCATGGTCGTCCAACTCCTCAAAGTGGTTTTGTCTTTCTTTTATAAAATAATATATTATAACCTCCAAAACACGATCAGCTGTTTATATCAACTTCACAAGCTAAAGTCAATTATTCAAATTTGACCAATCACGTTTCATTTCCGTTTTTAATGTTAACACTCAGGGGTACCATCTATTTTCTATCTTATAGGTTGCTGCCTGTCGGGTAGAAAGTTGCTGGATAAACGCTTCAGTGAGGTTATCTGTTAGGCAAGTTTATCCATGAGTTGTGTACCTAACAGATTTAACTCGACATTGAAAACCTTCCCTTAAAATAAAATAAACTAAATAACATTTTTATGGCGATTAAAAGAAGCTCCGCCCTTTTCTGTGACGTCAGACTTAGGCAGTTTATTTTACTATTAAACTAATGCTATCTCTTTCTAACACATATTACTCTCTAGCGGTTTGTGAATTTTAATTTACTACGTATGGCATTTGTAAGAGCGGAAAACGATGATTTACTGCCACCTCTCGTGGTTTCTACTATAGATTCTACTGTCCTTGGTTTTTACAATGTATTTTAAAATTTAATTAAAAAAAATTGTTTTTAGATAATTGGTAAAACGCAAATTCAACCAGATAAATCCGTGCTAGATGGTAGTACACCCCCAGTAAACACAATAATCTTCGAAAATACAAACTTTAAATCGACTCCCGGTGTTCGAAATCGTAACAATGAGAAATCACGAGCCACCACAAAAATCGAAGAAACCTCCCCGATGGATCCCCCCGTAATCTCAACGTTTAATAAACCGGTAACGGATCTTTTAAATAAATCCGAAAAGCAACCCGATATTCAAATGCAACTTTTTAATAAAGAGGATACATCCGATATGAAACTCGACTTTTTCGATTCGGAAATTTCTCAATTAACCGACGATAAAGCGTCGAAAAATATTTCTTTACCCCGTTCGATGCATACCATAACAAGCAGCAATAGTACAATGTCCCATTCCACGGCCGATTTAAATTTTAAAATAGCATCGGTGAAAAAAGTTTGGGATAATACAATAAATACGATGTCGCCGGTGATAGAACATAGTAGTGTTAGCCAGGAGGAAACGTTTTCGACAAGTTTTGGTCCTGATCCGAACAGTCTCGATCCTTCAAGCGCTTTCAGCAAAACTCAAGATGCCGTCGAAGATCCGCACGAAGGTTACAGTCCTTCGCCGAACCCAAATACGGCCAATAACACGACAAATGTATGCAAGGTAAACGTTGCGTGGTGATGTGGTGTTCGTTTTTAAAGGAAATGTTTTAGGTTAAACCCACGCAGCAGGTTCCAGGAACAACCGGACAAAATATCGTTGGTGGAGGGCATCAAACGCATTCCGGAATTATTACGATGCCACCTTTATCTTCACCTCCAATCCAACCGGTTATTGGACCTAATATTGGTTTAAATCAACCACCACAACAATATACGACCAATCAACATCTTGGTTATCAGGTTAGTAATATTTTTTTAAATTTTAAATACAAATAAAATCGTTTAATTTTTCTTAATAGGCCTCTTTAGGTGGAAGTACCCAATTTGGAATGTCCGCAATTCCATCTCCCCCAAATGTATTATACAATTCCACCCAACAACTTCAACCTAACCTTTACGGCGGGTTCCCGATGGACCAAATGGGCGGTCAACGGACGTCACAATTCTCCCAATACCCTTATGGACTCGGACAAAACGCGGCATCGAGTCACTATTCGGCCCAGAGCCTTTATTTGCAAACGCAACCTCACCCCCCTCAAGCCGCCCAAGCCCCGCCCGATCTCTATCAAAGTTTAGCAACCAATTTTCGGTTGCAAAATACCACCCCTTACGGACAAAATCAACAATTGAATAATCCCACGACAGTTTTGATATCTTCCACTTCGAATTCATTGATGTCTGCTTCGGTTAAACCAAGTAATCAACAAATTAGTGCAATTGGTAAGTAGAAAGGTTGTTTCTAGATTTTGATCAATAAAATCATTAAAATAAATGATCCAAGATAAAGGTGTGGTTCGTTTTTGTGAATTTAGCTTATTTAAGGCTAGTCATTTTTGGTTCTTTTGATTTTAGACGAAAAATAAATAAAAAAAACTTGGGCTTTTTTATATTATTTATTTTTTAATGTACCCTTTAATGTAACTTTTTGCCTTCCTAAGGTATTCTAAAAGAGTAATTGATTATAACCAAATATTATGTTTTGGTTTATTTACCATTACATGGAAACAGCTCGGATTTCAATTTCTTGATAAAGATTAATTACGAATTTCAAGGCCAAATAAGAATTTAAGAAATTGTAAAAGAATTGATTTAAAAAAAACAAGTAAAATTAAAAGTCTTAAGGGATAGTTATTTCTAATTTTTGTTTATACAGTGCGCGGCAAAATTATGGAACATATTCAATAAATTGATAACAAATTTTTTTTTGCAAAAATGCCGAAAGGGTCAATTTTGGTTAATCATAACACACATTATGACACCATATTCACTTCCTGATAATCATTTTTTTATGAGTTATGACGTCATCGACATTTTTTTTAAATGGCACCATATGCATTTGTTTACAAAATCTGAAAGTATATATTTCTCTGCGACTAACGATGTAAATATCGATATGGGTTACATAAGGAAAATTTTGAGAAAATTAGCTTTAAAGGTACAAATTTTATTTTTTTTCTGAACGTAAAAATAGCATTACCCATGGGTAACCATGGAAACGCTTTGTTTGGTTTTAATAATGTCTATTCAAAAACGTCAAAATTAGTTTAGTGAGTGTTTAATTGAATTGAAACAATTTTTATAGCAATTAATTCTTGTATTTTTGCATTGTTTTCTGTGTTGTAATTGTTTGTTTGTATTTTTTTTCTGTTTTATGTTGTTTAGTTTTGTATTAGTTATTTTGCGTTATATTCTGATTGAGATTGTTATTTGTTGTTATTTTTTGCCGTGTTCTGTGTTCATTAGTCCAGTTTTGTTCAATATTTGTTACTGTTTTGTTTTTATTTTTGAGCATTTGTTGTTACGTATTTATTTTAAAATAATTATGGCTCATTTAAGTGAAACCCAACGCATAGAAATTTTAATTCTTATTGGATGTGGAGATAAAACCCGAACACAACAAGAGGTATGCAATTTGTTTAATGCAAAGTACCCTGACAGAGTTATTAGTAGATCAACAGTTAGCAAAATTGACAAGAAATTTAGAGAAACTGGACATGTTAAGCACATTGCACATGCTGGACGTCCTAAAATCAACGAAAATGTGAAACTTAATATTTTGTTAGCTGTTGAAGATGATCCCCATAGTAATTCGAGACAAATTGCAGCGGATCATCAAGTTTCTCAGCGATCTGTACTACGTGTGCTACGAGCAGAGAGGTACCATCCCTACAAAGTGCAGTTAGTGCAAGAACTCAATGAAGATGACACAGATCGCCGCATGGAATTCTGTGAAATTATGCAGAATCGATGTGACCGTAATCCACTCTTTATTTACAACGTTTTATTTTCGGATGAAGCTACATTTTGCCTGAATGGCACAGTAAACCGACAAAATTGCAGATACTGGAGTAACGAAAATCCTCATTGGATAAGCGAGGTACATACCCAATACCCTCAAAAAGTGAATGTATGGGCAGGCATAATTCACAATAAAATCATTGGCCCTTTCTTCTTTGAACAAATTCTGACAGGTCAACGATATCTGGAGTTTTTGAGGAATGAACTGATGCCTGTCCTTTTAGAAGCATTCCCAAATAATAATAACCCCAACTTACTGGACGACAATATTTGGTTTCAGCAGGATGGTGCACCTCCGCACTTTGCACATCCTGTTCGCGAATTTCTGAATAATAGTTTCCCTGAGCGGTGGATTGGCAGACGGGGGCCGATAGAATGGCCCCCCAGATCCCCAGATCTTACACCCCTTGATTTTTTTCTATGGGGTTATCTAAAATCAAAAGTGTACGCTGAGAAACCACTCAATGTAGACGCATTAAAAAATTGTATTAGCGCTGAAATTCGTAATATTAGTCCGCAATTTATTTATAATACTTTGAAAGAATGTATGAATAGGTTTGCTTATTGTCAAGAAGTGGGTGGAGGGCATTTCGAACAATTGATTAAATGATTAGAATCAGAATTTATTTCTTTTTTATAACATAATTCATATTCTACGGACATTAAATAACTTTAAATATTAAAACTTAAAACCTTGCACATTAAAACTTAAATTATTAGTGTTTTTTAATAGAGAATAAAAAATTAAAGAACCATGACAACGTACATGGTTACGCAAGGGTAATACTATATTTTTGTTCGAAAAAAAAAAAAATTTGTAAAATAACTAATACAAAACTAAACAACATAAAACAGAAAAAAAAAATACAAACAAACAATTACAACACAGAAAACAATCCAAAAATACACGAATTAATCGCTATAAAAATTGTTTCAATTCAATTAAACACTCACTAAACTAATTTTGACGTTTTTGAATAGACATTATTAAAACCAAACAAAGCGTTTCCATGGTTACCCATGTGTAAGGCTATTTTTACGTTCACAAAAAGAAATAAAATTTGTACCTTTAAAGCTAATTTTCTCAAAATTTTCCTTATGTAACCCATATCGATATTTACATCGTTGGTCGCAGAAAAAAATATCCTTTCAGATTCTGTAAACAAATGCATATGGTGCCATTTAAAAAAAATGTCGATGACGTCATAACTCATAAAAAAATGATTATCAGGAAGTGAATATGGTGTCATAATGTGTGTTATGATTAACCAAAATTGACCCGTTTCGGCATTTTTGCAAAAAAAAATTTGTTATCAATTTATTGAATATGTTCCATAATTTTGCCGCGCACTGTATAAATTAATTATTATTAAGTGTTGAGAAAAAATGGCCACTTACTTGTTTGCATTGTTAAAAAACCCTTTATGTTACTTTTGCTTATAAAAACTCAAAATTACTAGAGTTCGATAGGTTCGTAACGGAACTTTTAATGAACTGAAGAACTAGTGTGGTGTTCTAGAACCAGTTGCGCATGTGTTGTGGTTTATGATGTAGTGATTACCAAATTGTGCGAATTACTGTATTATATTACCTCTAACTAAACAAAAATATAACAATGTGAGGAGCTAAAAATATCTAGATTTGTTTGTGTGGTTTCTATTTATTTGAGTGTGTATAAAATTAATATACAGGGTTATTATAAATGATGGACCCATTTTTAAAGATGAATATTTATTAAAGTACAGATCCAAAATGAACAATTATTATACCAATGGAAAGAGGAAATTTCAAAGTTTTTTTGCAATACATTATAAATGTTAAATGGGCGTTTCCTCTCTGTAAAAACACTATGTAAAAAAGAATGCGATTGCGGTATGTCGCACCATAGCGACAAATAAACATAATTTTATTATTCATCTTTTTGTCTTATAACAATAAATATGTACGTCTCCGTCAAAAGTGAGTGAGATGGCTACCGTGGAGCACAAGGTTTTCTGCGTTCTTGAGTTCACAAGAAGTGAGTCACAAATTGTAGTGCAGCGGGCATTTCGTACAAAATTCGGTATCGAACCACCAATTAGAAAAAGCATTAGGCGTTGGTTTACGCAATTTCTACGAACTGGAAGTGTGTGTAAAGGGAAAAGCACAGGTCTGTTGCGAACCAAGGGTTCTTACTGGGAAGAAGAAGAGGGGTTGCAAGTTAAACCAAAAGCTTCCTTGACGAACTTCTTTTATTTGATGTTTTTCCGTTGGGAACAACTTACATTCTGTTTTACAATTTGAAAACAAGCGGACAATCACGTACGACTAGGCGATATCATATTACCGCTTGTCAGCGTAAAAAATAGAAAATGAAATGAAATTAATTAAAAAATAAATTGGTCGGTTTATAACAGGTCGACCACGTGTATCAGAGGATGATGTCAGACGTATTGAAGAAAGTTTTGTTCGCAGTCCAACAAAGTCTACCAATAAAGGTAGTAGAGAACTTGGAATATCCCAGTCATCACGGTCTGGAAAGTTCTGAGGCGGCGTTTGCTGTACAAGCCTTACCGATTACAACTTGTGCAGGCTCTTAACCATAATGACAAAGAGAAGCGTTTCGAATTTTGTAGTTATGTGCTAGGAATGATGGAGGATGACGCGTTTCTGCAGCGTATCATTTTTAGTGATGAAGCGACTTTCCACCTTAGTGGAAAAGACATAATGTTCGCATATGGGGTTTGCAAAATCCACATTTAACAAACGTGTTCTGTGCCGTATCTCGTGCAAAGGTTTATGGACCATTTTTTTTTGCGGAAAGATCTGTAATTGGAACAACCATGTTGGAAGAATGGCTTTTTCCTCAAGTTATGGAAGATTCGCAGGACTTCATTTTCCAACAGGACAGAGCTCCGCCCCATTGGCACCTTCATGTACGAGGCTTTTTGAATGCAGCCCTTCCTCAACGCTAGATAGGTCGCAGGGGAAATGAAGTCCACTTTTGGCCACCGAAATCTCCTGATCTCACTCCATGTGACTACTTCTTATGGGTTTATGTTAAGGAAGCTGTTTACGTCCCACCTCTACCAACAACTCTGGACGATCTGCAGAACCGTATCACAGCTGCTGTGCACTCAGTAACAGTAGATACACTTGCTTGTGTGTGGGACGAGTTCGGCTACCGCATAGATGTTTCCCGTGCAGCGGACGGTGGACACATTGAACATTTATAGTGTATTGCAAAAAAACTTTGAAACTTCCTCTTTCCATTAGTATAAAGGTTGTTCATTTTGGATCTGTACTTTAATAAATATTCATCTTTAAAAATGGGTCCATCATTTATAATAACCCTGTACCTAGAACGTTATCAGAATCGCAATCCGGCAACGCTGCGTCTTTTTAATCGCGCCTTACGATCTAAATACGTTGAGGTGCATAGACTCTTCACAACAGATTTGGAATGAAAATATTATCAAAACCTCACCGTTCACACGGACTGAAGTAGTAACAAAAACGTAATTCAGCTGGAAATCGCGAAAAGTCGACCATAAACTAGCTCATCGAGATTTGTGCTATGGTGAGTTCGATTTTTGGTGCTACTTTAGCACAAAGAATGAATCAGTTGTCAAAATTGAAAGAAAAATGGAAGAAAAGACGATGTTGGGTTAGGAAGTGTATACTTGAAAGGAAATCAGGGCACATAATTTGGATAACTTGGGATGATTTGGAAATTTGCTACGAATGTTTGAATGCAAGTTTGATTACTTCACCATTGGTTTCAAGATCAGATACAAATATGAGACAAACGTCATCAGTTCTGGCTCCAGACGGCTCACTGTAGGCTACAGTGATGATGGCGCGAATGCAGTTAATGATTCCAAATTAAAACCTGTTTCAGTTCCTTTTTTAAGGGCTGGTTTGGCCAATTAAAACAAATCCCATTTAAAGTGATGCTGCTAATCAACAACATAATACTAGGTTATAATTAATTTCAACCCATTTGTGCAAATTGTATATATAATATAGTTTATTGTTACTTCTGTATACAATTTTTAAAATATAATAGCTACAATACATATATCCTCTCTCACTATAATCCCGGAGTCTCCCTACTCAACCTCAGGACTCACTTCTAATATCTCTTGGATCTCTTCCACATCTTGTATTCTTTCTATCCTCATATTTCATCATTTCACAATCCATCAAACATTATTTTCCGCCTGCAGAAATCTATTCCAAACATAGAACATTAAGAAATTTGTAGAACAATCTAATTTCTTGCTTCTTTTTACCACAATTTTGATCATCCCTATTTCTTTGTATTAAGAAGCAGAATTAATCAACTGTTGCTAAAACAAACCCTAAAATAACATGTTTAGATATTAAAATAACACTTTATTTATTGCTCCTTTATTTTATTTATTACTTCTTAGGTGTTATTAATGAAATAAAAAAAATTTAAGGTACTAAAACGGGAGCTGTTGGTCAAACGTATCAACAACAATCTCAACAAGGCCAACAATTGTATATGACTTACGACCCTTCAATCCAGCCCAATTATCTTCCGAATACTGGAGTGATGCAAAGGGCGCCAACGGGGCCGGTTCAAAACAACGTCGTTCAAGCGTTGCAGCCCTCTTCTTCGTATTATTCAGGATCAACAGGTAGAGCAAAACGTTTTAATTGTACTACATCATGGAGATGTTAATCATTTTGTTGCATTCTTTTTTTGTGGTGATTTATTGGTGTGGTGCTATTTTTGTGGTTAGGCTTTCGCTTTTGGCTTCAAAAGAATATTAAAATTGGGTTCATTTTGAACATTTTTTTTCATGTAGTCGTATTTTAGTGTTTTTTTTGTAGAACTTTCAATAAAATGTATTGTCTTGTTGTTGGTGTTTTTATTTATTTATCTGCATGCTTTTAATTTGGTACTTATTAATGATTAACTTAATTTTTAGAAAATTAAAGGTAAGACGTTTTTATCTTAGTAAAACAATGTTGTTTAGGTGGCCAAACCGGATACTTCCAACAACCTGGCAGTTCGACTTTGCAATCGGGACCTCTTCAACAACACCAAGCCAGTTATGGTCTTCAAGGGAACGTTTTTGGCACACACAATCAATCGCACAGCAGTCCGAATATGACGAATATCAGTTCGCATTTTTTGTCACAAATGCAGTTTGCGGCTGCGATGAACGTGCAGCAATTTCGGAACCAAAACATGCAGAACGCGTCGTATTTGAAGGGAATGGGTGGTGCGCAACAGGTTGGTGGGGATCAAACCGGGCGCTCTCAACAGTTGAAAAGTCCGGGGAACCAACAAGATTTGTCATCGGTTTTTAATTCGGGACCCCAAATACCATCGCCGAAATCGAGACAAAATTGTAAACAACCTCCACCGCAACCGAGTCCGACTACGCAACATAAATACAATCTGTATCAAGGAGTTGGAAATCAACAGTCTAATCAGGTAAGAGCTCAAAAAAAAAAATAAACGAATCAATTTAAAAAAGGATTATTTAGACCCAAAGATATCCAACACCGATTCAAAGGCCTCAAATGAACTTCCAACCAAATTTGAATCCTGTGCAAAATAGTGGTTCGGCGAATCAAAAGCATCGTGCTAATAATAATTCAAAGGGGCCACAAAGAAATTACTATTCCTCTCAAAGTAAGTCTTAAAAACTTACTAATTGAAAAAAATAAATAAATCGTGAGTTAAATCGCTAAAACTAAATGAGTTTGTTAAAGAGGAAAAAATGTTTTTCTTTTAATTTCTTAGGTTCACTATCATCACAAAGCGATAAAGTGGATGAGACAAAACTTGGAGATCAAAACGTGGGGGGAAATACGAATCAATCAGTGAACAGCGTGGGGGGTAGTAAAACTGGGGGAATAGGAAACGTGGCGAAAACGTCAGCGTCTGAAGCGGCAAAAGAAAAGGAAGAAGCTAGTGCTATTAAGGACTAATAATGTATTTCGCGGTACACATAATTTATATTAAGTACTAAAAATACTATTTACTAAAAAAATGATAAGAATTTGTACATCCGTTTAATTTATTTGAAAAATCGATTTACTCTGTATGGGTTATAATTTATTATTGTATTGTTCCCCGTTTTTGATGATGATAATGATGAAAAAAATGAAAATGTTTTTTCGAGTATTTGTAATCAGTAAAAATACTGCCTAAGAGATATGTCTGAGTATATTATAGTAAAAAAAAACAAAAAAAAAAAATAAGAAATGTAAGAAAGAAAAATCAAGAAGACGAATCACAAAAAAAAATTAACATTCACGATAAAAACAAAACTCGATGTGGGCCCTCACTCGAAAAAAGGAAAATCTGCACAAAAAAATGTTTCTTTTTTTTTTTGAGGGCACCATACATTTTTTTTGTATGTATCTTAGCTACTTAGAAAGTGTTTTTAGGAAAAACTGCGTAACACGGAGAAGAAGAAAAAACTAAGTTAAGTGACCGACGATTCACAAAAAAAAATTTAAAAACTAATTCATGTTTATCTGGAGCTTCTGTTTAAATAAAAAAACTTCAGTGTTTATAAAAAAAAACAAATAAAAGTTAAAATTAATTAATTAAAAAAATGGACGTTTTGCGTAATCGAGATGGTGGAAAAAGTGTGAACTTGTCTCTCCATAATTATTATGTTCTTGTCGATTCTATTGTTTTTTATTATTAATTATTTTTTCTAGTTTCGAATTGAATTTGTTTCCCTGATAATCTCCCGATATCCAAATCATCTTTTTGTTCAAAGAAAAAATAATAAATACGAAACAAAAAAATATTGAAAATGAATACGAAATTATTACAATGATGAGATTTAAGTTATAATAATGCGATTTCATTCAAATATATGGTTTAATTATAACTTTTTATGTGAGTTTTAATTGGTATCCTTGAACAAATTTTATTTATTTTGGCATATTTTATTACCTATTTTTTAATTTTGTTATTTTAGGTGATTTAGAAGAAATTTTATGAAAAGATTTAGTATTATTTAACCGGAAGCGTTTGGAATATTAAGACTAAAAACACAACATTTACGAAGTTTAGATTCACCATGATTTCTCCTATTTATTGTAGCGTTAATAAAAACGACACAAATTATAATTTTAACGCTGAAGACTCCATAATTGAGATGTATAGGTAATATTTTACAAATATTTATTATATGTGTTACTGCAAAATCCCGTACTATGGTAAATCTTAGGTTTAACTAGTAAATCTTAAGATTTACCAACATGACTTGGTAAATGTAAACAAGAGATAATTTTTCTGGCTTTTACCAATAGAGTTTGGTACATCTTAAGTTGCAAGCGTTTTTTTTTCTTCTATCTTTATAAAGTCTTCAGATCATTAGGTAAATTGATTCTTAGTATAAAGCTGCTTTAGTACTCCAATTTTCGTACCCAGTTTTTAAAGCTCATTGTCTTTTACATCTACCATAACTGCAATAATGCTTTTTGGGTCAGTTTTAGCTCTGTCAATATCAGGTACTTTCAGTCTTACATTTTATCCAACTTTCACATTTGAATATTAATTTTATTAATTTAATTTTGAATTGAATTTTACATTTTTTCTTTTTGCCAGCATAGATATTGGCTCTTCAGTTATAAAAACTTCTTGAGATTGAGTTGCATTTTTTGTATTTCAATCGGTATGTCTCTGAATCGTCTTTTCGTTAATAATTGTTTCGAACAAGCTGCTTGGAAGCCTTTAGATACCCCATTTTACCCTTCCTTTAGAGTTTGGTGTATATTTCAGGTTATTAATATAAAAGTTTGTCATGAAAAGAATACCAAACAAAATAGTACAGATTTGTAGTAATTAACTATTGCGGTTAGCAACACTGAAAAACAGATAGTATAATTCTAATTTGAAGATCAGCTTCAGCAGGTGGATGGCTTTACTTGTTTTAACCGCCTCTCCCCTATTATTTACAGCACTCAATATATCCTTATATCGCTTATATTTCAGGTTTATGCAATATTCGCATTAAAATTTCCTACTCTTGGACCTTATATCTTTGACACCAACCTCCAAAGATGACTGCTTATGGGAGTTGGTCTTGTCAGGGTAAGGTAGATGGATTTTAAGTTTACCATGCTGCTTTCTTAATCCTAATTAATAATTAGGGATTCGTTCTTTTTTATCTATTATGATATTTTGAAGTCTCTTCAATTGAGTTTTGTGTTAGCTTCTATATTGAGTAATTCATTTCCTTGTCATTGCCGAGATTTAAGAAAAACACTGAAATATTTTAATCTTTCGCTTTTGATTTTTGTACTAACCTTTTTATCTTAATAAGTAATAACCTTAATTTTTTCCTCAATCTTTTTTTTTTTAGATAAAATATAATTAACAGATAAAACCGCCCTTCTTGAAGTAGTAAGCAAAGAACACTTCTTGTTAGAAGTTACTGCAACTACTCGTTGTATAATCGGTAGAGTTTCAAGTATTTTCGTCCCGGACTCTCCGGTATTTCTGACGGCGGGATCCAGGTTTAATTAATATAATGAGATTAGGATTTGACGCGCTAGAATTATCCCGGTTGTTCGCAAGAACGAGCAAATTCAACTCAACCTTTTCGAGATCCTTATTTTCTTTCTCCTTATTTTCCCTTCACGTTATTATTATTAATTTTTTATTTAAGTCGTTTCTATGACTATACAATTTATTGTATTGCAGTAGTTTTGCGGTACTTTTAACCGTTTCAAAAAGTACATACAATTGCGTGTCGACGATCAATTTTAACGGTTAACATGGTGCAGTAATTAGGTTTCAACTCCAAAAATGGAATATTGTACCCAAATGTGGAATTTAATGTTTAAACACTTTTAAAATTGTTTCTGTACAGCCGAGTTTGTCATTTTTGATGAGGTTGTTAATTAATTTATTAACCTCTCTTGTATTAAATTGTTTTAGCATTTATTCATTTAAATCCCTAATTTAGTTTTATTTTAGGTTTTAGTCTTTTCTTGTGGACGAGAACGAAATAAAAAAAATAATTCGTCAAAATGGATTTTTTCCACTCCCTCGAACAAATTTCCACGTTTCATTTTAATTACTTTTAGCGCTTTGGAAAAAGAGCAACCGGATGTTTTGTAATCGGGAGCCAGTCACAAGTTTTTTTTGCCACTACAATCTTTTGTGTTTATATTTCATTATTTTTTTTTTCAAATTTTTTAATATTTCCCTTAAAATATACATCTTTGGGGAGTACAAGAAACTTTTAATGCAAAAACCGAATTAGTGTAAACACAAGATTGATCACTGTTATAAAATGGGAAAATTAAAACCCAACCCTTCTCAAACTAATTAAAAAATGGAACCTTTTAAAATTTAATAAATAAAAAAATCTTTGTGTCGTGTTAAATTCGACTACAAGGTTTTTTTCCACTTTTTGAGGGATGTGAGCTTTTGTCCCAACCCAAGAGAATGACGGATAAATCGGAATTGGAAAGGACCTCCAATTACCGTAGTAGGTAAAGCTCACCATATGGCATGTTTCGTCCCCGGCGAAACCGGCCAGCCCAGTAACGAAGCTTCGGCGCCGGAGCTTTGGGAGCTTCAGGAGCTTTTGGAACCTCCAACCGGAGGCAGTCGGCAATCGGCCGCGTCCGCGAGATGCCGCTTGACGGTGACTCGTCATCGTTGGGAAACACGTAACGCGGTGTTGGTGTTTTTTTGTGTTGATCGAGATGAAGAAGGTGATGTGCTTTTCCATTTTTGAAAGTGCAGTGTAGTTGTGAGATTCTTTTCTTTCAAGATGTTGGTTTCTTAAGGGAAATGAAAACGAAGAATTGAAGAGTCGATAAAAAATTTGGAAGAAAAAGAAGTAAAATCAAGTAAGTTAAATAAAGTTGCGACGCGTTAGGAATTTAATAAAACTCTGAAAACTCAGGATGCTGCGTTTTGAAACTTCCTAAACCCGCCGTATCCATCAATTAGCGGTGCGTGTGCTGAAAGCAAATCATTTTCGTGTATCTAAAACCCTTTTGCATTTAAATTTTAATACCACACGAGCAATTTTTAAATAAAGCTCAGTTTCCGTTTTAGATTCACACAGAAACATGTTCCTTTCAAAGTGTTTTGACGGTGAAAATAAATCTCTTCTCGCCCAAGAAGAACTTAACGATAATTTAACTTATGGAGAAATGTATTTGAGGTAATCATTTCAATTTTTTTTAAACCAATTCTATCCTGTATTCAGTATTGTTTCTGTGGCTGAAAACTTTAATTGGTTAACCCTTCGAATTAATATTTAAATTAAAATTAAGCTCGAAGCACTAGTACTTGGATTTGAACGTTGTTGGTTATCAACAGGTCCTCGTAAACTATTCCCCTTCGGGTGGGTCCCTTTTCTTAATCCCTTGCAATGGGAAAGTTGGGATCTTTCGAAATTAATCTTGAAGCCATGATTTACGATTACTGTGTTGGGCCAAAATCCCAAATACGTTATCTTTATTTTTGTTTCATCTTTTTTTAAAACAAAATTAATATTGCTATTTTGTAGATTTTATGGAGGAATTTATTTTATTAGAAGAGTCTTATGATTTTATTTGAATTTAGGTTGGTAACTCTACATCACCATGTTTTATCCACAAAGCGAAGGTTCAGATTTCTATTGATCAGAAAAATATGGTCTGCAACAAGATTATTACTGGTCTAAATTCTAGTTCGCCAAAGTTCTTGTTTATTAAAAAAGATGTACCATCACAAAGTGGTTTGAGATGAGCTTTTATGCACTTATTGCCTAATTGAAGCATCCTTATTCTTTGGAACAACATCCACGCACAACGGTGAACATTTTGCGCAACTTAAAACCAGCCTCTTTTTCGCATTAAAAGATATAGCATCCCTCAAAGACCTTCTAACTTCTTCTAGAATGTCGTCCATACTCCAAAGGTTATAATGTATCAATAAACGATCATCCTTTTATTTGTGTCAAAATTGAAAGTTGCCAATAAATCAAAAAGACACACTAAGAACTCGGATGATAACATAGAAGACAGACAAAAAGAAACAAAGCAGAATTTAGAAGATGCCAAAAAGTCTAGAAAGAAAAAAAAGTAGTATAAAGAGAAATTAGTTAAAGCGAAGACTGAAGGGAGTACTAATTAAGCCGAGGTCGCTTGAGTAAAGAGAACAACAGTCTAGACAAGTCGAATCAAGAATTCTATGTTGACTTATTCTCAGTTATTTCGAAGTCAGTCTCT